AGTGGCAGGGGCAGTGGTATTTGTGGTGTCAGAGGACTCACGGGCCCCCATCAGCGCGTCAATGATGCACGATTATACCAGCTTTCAAGGTAAAATTGCACAAACGAAGACACACTGCTAGCGACAAGGTTAAAAAAGGAGAGAAAAGACGCAAATAAAATAAACAAACCTGCTTCAGGTTTTTCTCCAACTGCACACGAATGGACATGAGGGCAAAGGCGACGGCCGAGGTGGTCCAATCGACGCCCTGTTCGGGCACCAGGCAGGCCAGGGGTTCCCAGGAAGCTGAAAAACAAAAAGCGATAGGCATCAAGAAGTTGCTATTAAGTCTGAGCAGCTGGTTTGGCGAGTTCCTACTGCTGCTACTAGTGAAGCTGACCAGGCCGGCGGCCCAAGTCAAGACACAAGACAAAAAGGCGTAGCACCAGGGGAATTAGGATAATAAATGAAGAGGCAGTTTAAGTGGGTGCATGTTAAATGTTGACGGACGTTTGTGCGGTAGCATCTTGCGCGCAGGAGTAGGCGCAAACCCAACAGGCCCTGAACGGGGAGTGGCTGGGATCACCACCTGGCTATAAACCGGCCAAACCTTCGTCCAGCATCTTCAACTACAAACACAGCGAAAGACGCATATTGCGCAAATAGTTCACAGACTGCGCCTAATCGCTCTGTTAACAGAAGCCCCCCAGCTATCAATGTCTATTAGGTAATATCAGGTATTTATTCACACAGCAGGGGGATATGCATACGTATATCCGGAGGGCTTTTCAAATTGAGTCGCCATTTTTTCCTCCCTCCATTCACATTTAAATTTTCGGTTGGCCCAGTACGCCCATTATAAACCGATTTTCATCCCTCCTTGTTTATTTGAACTACAATGAGGTCAGCAGTGCACGACGCTAGAGCCGCCTTGAAAGCAGTCCAATTTGGCGAATTTTTCAAGGACATTTTTCCACGAGGTCAACAGGTGCAGTCATCTGCGATTATGGATTGCTTTTGATATCCCGGTGTTGTGAGTTTGAGCACTTTATTTTATTCCTTGTGAATGGAAGACGATTGTGTTGCTGAAAATTTTGGAATTATATTTTCAAAATAAAGCGTATCCCTCTCTTTCTGCGGCGGAAAATAAAGACACTCACCAGTATCAAAGAAGGAAGTTGGTAGGCGCCGTAGGAAGAGCTTGACTAAGCCCGACAACACTCGCACGTCCTTCCAGGCTTCGAGACAGAGCAGGACGTCAGGATCAAAGGAGGTCTGTGGATAGAAGGACGAAAAAAGAAGCGTGAAATGTAGTTCAAAAAAAGGGCCGACGTGCCTCCGACAATTTCACAACAAAGGCGACTGTTGAGGTGTTGGACAGAGTCCAGTTGTAAGTGTGCACTAGGTCGGAGAATTTCAAGCTATGAAAACAGATCCTTAACATCATCATCATCATCATCATCATCATCATCATCATCATCATCATCAT